GTAGTTTGGAGTCAGAAGTTAACAGTCAGTATATAGACTTTTTTGCCGTATAAGTATACGTTGCCCAGGTTGCATCACGTGGAGGTAAGTCTATCGCACACCCCAGTTTCAATATATAACAGTTGGGAAACAAAACGTGGTGCTAACTCCGTCCTTTCTCTCAGCCCATTTGGTTCTATGAGCTGGCTACCGCGGGACAGCATGTTCTAAATCAATGCTAAAATAGACGAGAGCATGCAATGTTCTGCAGCACATCTCTCTTTCTACAATGCTGAGTTTAAAATCAATGCGTATACAGCAAATTTCGTGCTAGCGGATTACATAATCGGCCTATCAGTAGATTAGAGCTGGCGGGTACTTACTTTTTCACTCTGATGTTGTAGAAGGCCAATCTGCTGACAGGTTCGATCATAACGCTGACTCCGAAGGCAAGGCAGGAGCTGGAGAAGTGGTGTGTGAACAAGCTATCGGCCTTCCAGACCGGAAATGTCGACATTCCTACTCTCATATCTGTACTCTGTGACATGGAGGAAGATCAAGATGTAAGTTTTTAGTTTCACCGACTTATTTACTTCCTTAAGAATATTCTCAGATGCCCGTCTTCCTATTCATAAACTGAAAAAGGATCTTGCTTTATAAAGTGGAGTTCATTGTTGTGAAATAATATTAGAAAAACGAATTGAATGCAGCTTTAGTTTTGTACTATAGTTTAATATGCTGTATGTAGGAAAAGTGCTTATGAATGAATTATGAAGTCAATTTACTGGTAAGTTTGTTTTGTGAAATGGTGTTCATTTTTCCTCTCAATTTCTTCGTTTTATTCAATCCACTTAACAATTTGTTTTCACAAACAGCCAAAGTTTCTTAACAGTTCAAGTGGTTCTGATATTTTCTGTATTTTTAACGGTTCCACAGATAGTAGGATTGATCACAGCTCACTCTTTCGCTTTGAAGCTGCTGGCAGCTAATCAGTTCTCTTTCAACAAGAGGGTCAAATGAATAATGACTTCATACAAGAGGAATTTCACTTTTTCTTCCTTCAACGCTACTTATCTTAGCAATTACGCCACTTTAAAACGTGAAACGTGTCTACTTCTACTTTTCCTTTTTAGGTTCTTGAGTGCATTGAGTCGTCTTTCGGTAAGTCGCAACGCGTGTCGAATTTCTCCAAAGCTTTCGTCGAGAAGCGTGCCAATTTGATGGGCGCGACGGCTTAATTCACACACCGGATCAATCTCTCTTCACGTTCCCATAATAGTGTTTGTCTCGGTAGTCAACTAGTCCCTTCCAGTCTCGACACCATCTTAGTGTCCACGTCTACAATCATCACTTTTCTTTTCTCCAACCTTTACACTGTGTGTTGGCGTCCTTCCTATTCCCTTCTTTTGTACACATCCCCCTTTATGAGTTATGAAGACGACAGGTAGTCAATCAACCAGTCAGGTGTGAATTTTGAAAAAAGCAGCGGGGTTTCTTACCTCCCTCCATCTTCTTTCATCTTTGCTCTCCCCCCTCCTTAGCATTGTTTTCACATTTGCGCGCGCACAAGGGTAATATTCGTTTTCTCTAACTCCCCCGGGGCAAGCCTGCTTCTCAACTCCCTCCCTTCCTCCCCTATCCTATTGCTTTCTTATCTCTGTCTTGCCCTCTTATTCCCATCCCCTTCTTTCTCAACCGGATTCTGCGATAGTAACCAAGATAAAGCGTGTGGAAACGACGTCGACTACTATTAATAATGAACTACTTTTTATACTCAAGTCCGCATCCGGAACTCCTTAATACTACACTTGCGGTACTTCTTCTTTTGCTTCATTCTCTGGGTTGTTGGAAAGTTAGTCTTTAGGTGCTGGAGAAAATGATTTAAATTCCACATATTAGTATTAGATAGTATATAGGATGTAAGGGAAATTTGAGTCATATTCTTAGTTAAGAAAGGTGCTAGTGTAAATGGGAGTAAGAGAAGCAGAATCGTGCTTTTGATGCCCCTTGGCAGTATTAGTAAAATTAGGCACTGGGAATGGGCTACTCTCGGATCGAATTCGTCGAATAATTGGTCAGTCATAGAGAAAAGTTAGTTTTATTCAAGTTCTGTAAATGCATATCAGTAGTTGCGTTTTCTTACTTTAGTTAAGTCGGGACGTTAACTGTATCTTATGCTGACGTAATTATAGTTCGCAATGTTATAAAAAGCAACAAGCTCAAAATTTCTTACCGAATCGTGATGCTCATGGTGGAACTATTCACCATGAAGATCCAAGTTTTCTCTTCTGTACATTGATCACCTCTAGAAATAGCCCAGAAAACCAGATTCCGAAATTTTGGGCTATGGATAGATAGTAGTGGGCCGAAGACTGGCCTCAAAGCACCAATTGTGGCATTGAGCAGATGCCAATGTTGGCAACGTGGCATTCAGGAGGTTGAATATGAGGTTTGTAGGTCCCTAATCATCACTTGGAGGCAAGAAAAACATTGTGAATCTACTCCTGCATATATTTTCTATTTGGGGTGTGCGATAAACTTTCCTCCACGTGGTGCACCCTGGGCAACGTATACTCATACGGCGAAAAAGTCTATTAACTGGCAGTTGACTTCTCACTTCAAACTATCATCACCTCACTCTATGCCATATTCGACTATTTCCACAGTACTCTTCTTACCTTTTTCTACCTTTGTGTTTGTCTCTTACATCTTTGAAACAATCTTCTGTCCCCCCCCTCTCGACTTTTTTCAATTTGATGTTCCTTCTCCTCTGTGAAGTCTGAAGTCAACTAAAGGGCTAATGATAACCATCAAGACGCCTGCCATTTGATATAAATAAATAAATATTTTCT